ACTTTTACCTTATGTGAATTGGAGCGGTAGTAACCACACCTCTAAAAAGAGAAGTTTGTGCCTGTGGATGGGTGGTGGTGATATTTGTAGGGGTGTGTGTGTGCACATTTATGAATGTATTCAGTGGATGCACAATTTGTAGCACCTGAACAGCATACTCAAGATTGCAACAGTGCAGACATTTTGATGCAGTAATTCAGAGTAAGAAGTGTCAGTTATTAGACACTGTTAAATAAACAAAATATTACTAGAGTGCTAATGTTTTAAGCATGTTTTTATTTTAAGTTAAGTGTTTGTGTCCTTTTTAAAGTTTATATCTTCGCTACCTGGCATTACATTTTATGACACACATGGCCCAGCCCAACAAGGTCTCACTTATGTCAGATCCAGCCCTCATCACAAATGAGTTCGACATCCCTGGCTTACACCTTGAAACTCTTGTTGCTTGCTAAGGTGCTACTGGACTCAAGGGTAATTGTGAAAAGGGGTCATAGAAAAGGAGTTATACAGAAGAATTGTCAGAGGATAACGTTTCTGTTGCACATTGTCTTTGTGCTTCTCAAATAAGGGCTACTTTTTTGAAAACTGTCCCTTTGGCATAATCAAATAATTCTGAAATAAAATGTTGCAAGCATTACTAAGATAACAACAGCTTTTCTAAAATGATGCTTCAAATCAAAGCAGGTTGCTTAAGGTATCTGAGGTGAACCACATCTTTTCCTAAGGTATTACATGCCTGATTGAATCTGGACATTTGATTAAATTAAATTTAGATTCTTAAATTACCATCAAGGTTAGACCTTGGACCAATGCTCCCTCTAAGCTGTAGAGTATTGTGAACAAAATTCTACTTTGTGAGCTACTGGCATTAAAGTTGTGAGTGAACAATTTGGCTACTGCATGAATTAGTTTGCTTTGGAGTCATCCTTCCAGAGTTAAGACAAAAATGTGTGACCCAGAGGCTAAAAAACTGTAAGCTAGCTCACACTAACTCAGCTTAGAGGGAACACTGCCTTGGACTCCATCATGGGCATGTGTCTCTTGTGTTGCAGAACCTGTTTTTAAAAACTGCCTCTATGACCTTGTCTCAGAAGTTTATCTATTTTAAAAAATTCTATGCTGTGTTTCCACCCGATAAGCATCCACAAGGCAGAAAACATAAAAATATTTAAACATTTAAAAATACAGCTAATTTTATTTTTAAAAAACCAGTCAAAAACACATAAGCAATGCTAGAAGGAGACCCAGTAACCATTACTGGTGGTATGCCAGACAAAACAAAAAAGTCTTCACCAGTGGAGGGAGACAGATGAATCTTTCTGGGGAGGCAGTTTCAAACTTTTGGTGCCACAACACAGAAGGCCTTATCTTGGGTTGCCATCCACATAGTTTCAGATGGCGGGAGCAACCGAAGCAGGACCTCCAAAGGGTATGGGAATTGTCATATGGGAGGAGGCCGTCCTTGAGGTGTGTTGGTCTCAGGCTGTACAGGGCTTTGAAATGTCAATACTATTATGTTGCATGTTAATTTGCTGTTCGTTCTCCAGCTATTAATTTGAACTTTGCCTGCCATTCTAATGTATTTGATAAAGTGAGTGTGCACACGAAAGTTCATGCCTTGAATAAACCTTGGTTGGTCTTAAAGGTGCTATTGGACTCTAAATTTGTTGTACTGCTGTTCTAAATTAACGTTTCATATCAAAACCACATTAATATGCTGAACTCACACATGCACTGTAATATGCAGGAAGAGTGCAATGCCATCATAAAACAGCCTTTGTGCATGGTCAGTCAATTGATTCAGAACTTGATACAAGCTTATTTAAAATGGCTTGTTTTTCACACACGTTCCCCAGCAGCAGGAGAGGAGCTGAAAAACAATTTAAATGGTACACATGAATTTGGTGTAAACTTTTTCCTTCTTAGTACTAACTAGTAACTGAAATGCAAACAACATTTTATATCCTGTTTTCTATAGGCTATCAGGAAATTCATTCTGCACTTAGGCAATCAAGGGACAGCCTCCCCTGTGTTGGATATTTTAACTCTGCATACAAGGGTGGAAGGAAAGTGTTAAGCGAATACTCTCAGGTACACTTGGCAGTTGGCCTCACCTTCTCATTGGTTAAAGGTTGAGCCTCTTTGGCCCTTGATTGCCTTATGCTTCATCATATATATAAAAGCTCTCTTCTCTTTCTTACCTGGGCTTGGAGCTGTAGCAAGTTACCTTTCTGAAGTTAATCTGTTCACAATAAGTTAAATGTAACTACATGAATATGTCATGTAAGATGTGCTTCTAATTTTGTAACTAAATTTCTTTCTCCTGTTACTATTGGAGTCAGATCATCTTTGTAATTTGTTTGAACGGCATTTCTCCCTTAACCAGGAAACATGGAGGATCAGAGATACTGTGTAAAGCTTCTGTGCTTTCAAGGCAAGTGATATTTTTTTTACATTTAACCCAATACTCCCCCCCCCAACATTCCCTTGGTCTAAGCTGCTAAATATACCAGGTAGCTAACAACTGTGCAAGAAACTCAGAACTGCATTCTTTAGATTCATTTCAAAAGTATGTATGTCAAAGGTCAGAATCCTAGGTAATCCATAAATGTATGTATGTATTTATTTATCTTATTGATTTTTATCCCACCCTCCTGGCCTAGGCTGGCTCAGGGCAGCTTACAAACAGGATAAAAGTTCTAAGAATACATAAAACACAATTTGTTACTTAATACAATTTCCAGTAAATAATAATACAGTAATATTAAAACCATCTTAAAATCAAACATAATATTAAAGTGCTAGCAATTTCTCAGTTTTTACTTTAGTTCTATTGGTCTGCTTCAGTTAGGGGGGCTAAGCCAGGCAGTAGTCACAGGGGCCAGTGGATCAGGGCTTCCACCATAGGTTGTCAGTTGTTATTAATAGTGGCAATGATAGTTGTGATGGTAGTGGTGGCGGTGGTGGCTCCAAAGGCCTGGCGGAAGAGCTCCATTTTGCAGGCCCTGCGGAACTGTAGAAGGTCCCACAGGGCCCTGATCTGCTCTGGGAGCTCATTCCACCAGAGTGGAGCCCCCACTGAAAAAGCCCTGGCCCTAGTTGTTGCCAACCTGGCCTCCTTGATACTTGGGAAGACCAGTTGGTTCTGGGTCCCTGATCACAGTGCTTTCCAGGGCATATATGGGGAAAGGCGATCCCTCAGGTATGTCAGTCCCTCAGGTATGTTGGTTAAACAACCAGGTCAGCTAGGTTTCCAATGGCTTTGTTGGTTAAACAACCTACATGAATAGGTTCAGCTTGGTTTGATTAGTTATAATGAGTTTTATGATGGATTTTAAGTGTATTTTTATGTATTGTGTATTGTGTAAGCCGTCCTAAGCCTGCCTTGGTGGGGAGGGTGGGGTATAAATTGAATAAAATAAATAAATAAATAAATATATTTATAGGCATGCATTATATATTTTATTAAAGCCCAGTTTTCCATGCACATGCTCAAAGCAGCTAACAAAAATCAATGGCTTATCACTGCAAAATAAAAACATGATACTGTCAGATGGTTTTATTTATTTACTTTATTGATGGCCCAACTTTCTTACAGAGAAAGTTTCTTGGGATCCATTCCTATCCCCTGCTGGGTGATTTGGTATCCCAAAATGTCTATTTCCTCTTTGTGGAATTCACACTTAGAGAGTTTAGCATACAATTGGTTGTCATAGAGAGCGGTTAAAACTTCTCGCACTAGTTTCACATGAGAGTCCAGATTTTGTGAATATACCAACACGTAATGTAAGTAACAAACAACACCCTTAAACAAGTGTTTATGGAGCACTTCATTGATCAATTTCATAAAAAGGCCGGGGGGGGGGGGCGCCAACCTGAAGGGCATGACTAGATATTCAAACTACCCCAGCGGGGTTTTAAGCTGTGTTATATTCATTCCCCTCTCAGATTTGGACCTGAAAGTACGCGTCCCGCAGATCCAATTTGGTGAAAATTTTCCCTTTCGCTGCTTCCCCCCAAAAGTCTTTTATGAGGGGTAGAGGGTAGGCATTCGACATGGACACAGCATTTAAACCTCTATAAGATTGTAAGATGGCGTTGTGCCGACAGTGAGGGGAAAGCTGCTGCTCTGCTTTAGAATAAGTATTTTTATTCTGTGCTGTCTTTTGAGATTCCTTTTTTTCCTTGTTATCACTGCCGATGTTGGGAACCTTATAATTGGACTTGGACTTGGACTTGCTGTAGTTTTAAGTGTTTTCCTGAGCTTATCTGCTTCAACAGCCATAATGACCGAAGGGAAACGCCTAAAACGCTCTAGAGACGCGGAGGAGGTTTTTTCTCCTCCAAAAAGCAAGCAAACAAAGATAGATGACTTTGTCAGAGGAGGAACTCCTGCTGTTGCTATTTATAACATTCCAGTCTCTAATCGATTTGCGGCGAAGGCAGACAATGAGGAAATTTTCCCCGGCAATATGCCAACAGGTGTGCCTTGTTGTGACTGTGAGGGGAATCTCTGTAGCATAACAAATCTGATTTTCCATACAGTTAAGCATATATTGGAATATTTAAAGGAAATCAAGGAGAAGCTTGAGAATTTATCGGACTTGAAACCTAGGGCTTGTGCTTGTGCTGTGAGTAAGCTCAGAAACTCTCCAGGCACTGATAACATACATGATAACATACCGGATAAGACGACGGCTTGTTTAACAAACAGAGCTAAAGATTCAACTAATATTCTCCCTTTTACAACAAAAACTGATGACGGGAGCCATAGGTCTCATCTGACCCTACAATCAAAGCAAATTTGTCTAACTATTTGTGGTTTTCAAGGCAGGATTCCAAGGTGGAACACCAGATGGATGGCACTTAAACATTTGAGTACTCTTCTTGGTGTACGAGTCTCCAGGATTGATTTGGAAGCTATAGAATTGATTAGCCAGCCGACTCAAGTCCAGAGAGTGTTACTCACGTTTTATAGCAGACACTTTCCCTCTTTAATGATGAAACAGAACATAGCCCTTAGGAAAAAAGGGATCTTTCCAGCACGAGTATTTGTAAATACCTCGAAACCAGTTTCACTTTTGCCCACGATCCGTAAAATGAATATAGGAAGGAATAAGACGATATCTGACCAACCCGATCTGATGGATTTCTCTCCGCAGGAGGATAAACCACCCGATTTAGATGTGGAGTATAAGACTGATAAATCGTTAAGGAAGTTTCCATCCACTACAGCTTCTAATTATACTAGTTTAAATCTGGATAATTCTGTGGAGGAAGAATTGAAAGATGTATTCCCAAAACTCCCAAGAGAAGATCAAGTTGTCATCGTGGACAGATTGGAGCTGTTGAAGAACAGCTTATTGGCCTTGGGAAGTCAATGTGGAAATCTAGACTCCAATACTCTCAGGAAGACTTCATTACAACACCCCTGTAAAGCTCATGAAGAGATGGACTGTTTCGAAACTACAACAAACTCTGTTAAGGATTTGGTTACACTATTGGATTGCAATAATCTTAAAACAGATATGGAAGCAGTAAGAAATGACAAGAAGAAGGATGACAGCGGAAGCCACCTGACCACTGCACAGCCGTTAAGCATGATAAATTTCCATTCTGCAATTGCACCAGTGGACTTAATTCCTAATTCTGAGGTCCAAATTTCAAGCTCTTCTATGGAGGGGAATCCATCCAGGTGTCCAACTAAAGGAACGGTTTTGGGTCCTGTTAAAAGCGTCGAGCCTGTGATGGACTTTAGTAATGGATGCGTGTTTAGTGACCCAACAGGCCAATTGGATTTGATTTCTTCTGATTGACTACATAACTCAACTTCCTTTGATGGACACAACAACTCACAGACTATCTCCTTAATGTCATGGAATGTCATGGGATGGGTTAATAGATTGAGGGATGTTGAAACTGTAACTTTTTTGAGGAAGTTTGATGTAATTTTGCTTCAAGAGACTTGGCGGGTAGATCCCATTATTTTTAATGGGTATAAAGCATATGATCTGCAAGCACTGCCCTCTAAAAGAGGGAGAGCAAAAGGGGGGTTGGGTATTTTAATATCAACTATTTTGAATGTAAGGGCTAAACAACTGGCTTCCTTTAATCAAGTGGCTATGGCATTAGTGTTGACGTATTCCCAGACAACATGTTTAATTATTAATGTCTATTGTCCCCCACAGAAAGATATAGATTGGGCAGGTCTTGAAACGTACATCTGGAATTTAATTATGGAGCATCCTACTGCATATTTGATAGTTGGGGGAGATTTTAATGCTAGAATAGGTCCAAATAACGACTTTCTCTATGAAAGATATAATACCTGTCCCCCAGAGGAGCAAGTACCTTCCCCCCCACTTGTGAGATGTTCAAAAGATCAAAAGTTTAATTCTGCTGGTTATGGTTTTTTGCAAATGGTAAATGGCATTAATTGTCATATTTTAAATGGTTCATATCCTACAGATTATCCAGCTGAATTTACCTATTGCTCTGGTGAGAGGAGGAGTGTCATAGACTATATTATTGTCTCAGGAAATGTGTTAAATCTGGTTGAACTATTTGAAGTCTCCTCGTATTTAGAGAGTGATCACTTCCCTACTATTCTGAGATTTGTGGCACCGAACTGTGATCCCCGAATCATAGATTTACATCTGCAGGAGAATGAGGAAGGAAATGAGTATTATAGGGTACCTTGGAATGAAAGGAGAGAGAAAGAAATTGCAGAGCTTTTGAGTTCTGGGGCTCTTGATGAGTTTTTAACTAAGTTAGGAATTGAGGGTCAAGAAGACTTACATCTGGATGCCTATGCTCAAATTATAAAAGAAATACAAAATGTAATGGGGAAGCCTTGCTCCAAACAAAATAGATTAACCAATAGTAATTCCAAGCCTTGGTTTGATAAAGAGTGCAGAACTATGAAAAGTGCTCTTAATGCTATGTACATCAAATATAGGTGTGACGAGGACAAGGATACTCTTGAGGATATGAAAAACTTAAAGAAACAATATAAGGCCTTGATACGGCGGAAGAAGAAGGAAGCCATAGTCCTGGCATGGGAGCAACTAAGCTCAGCATGTAGAGATAAAAATCCCTGTTTATTTTGGAATTTGGTCTCCAACTGTACTACTAGACCTCCCTCAGTGTGCAGTAATACAATTCTCCCTGAAATTTGGGAGAAATATTTTGAGCAGCTCTACCAAGGCCAGGATGAGGCTGCAACAGAGGACCTGGATATAGGTATTTTACCCTCTTGGCCCCCTGTGCATCCTCAAGAAATTAAGAATCTTATACAGACCTTGAGTTCCAATAAAGCCCCAGGCTCTGATCTCATATGTGCAGACCTGATTAAGAGGAACCTTGAGTGGTGGGTTCCAGTTCTTGCTACTTTATTTACAACTATAGATAGAACTGGTAGAATTCCTAAAGACTGGGGGGTGGCAATAATAGTGCCTATTTACAAGAAAGGGAACAGAGCGGACCCTGTTAATTATAGGCCGATCAGTCTCCTAAGTATAATAAGTAAGCTTTACTCAAAACATTTACAGTGGAAGCTAAAAGACTGGATGGAGCAGGAAGACTTTTTGAGACAGGAGCAAGCAGGCTTTAGAAAGGGACGGTCATGTCAAGATCAGTGTGTGATACTGAACCATTTAATTTCCAAATACTCCACGAACTCTTTAACCTCACTGTATGCAGCTTTCATAGATTTTAAATCTGCATTTGATTCTGTCTCAAGAACTACCCTATGGGAAAAGTTGAAATCCTCTACAATAGATAGGCGCTTATTGTTTCTATTGAGAGCTCTCCATAAAAACACTTTTGTTAGGGTACAATGTAATCCTCAAGGTCATCTTACAAAGATGATCAGGTCAGACAGAGGAGTAAAACAAGGATGTATTTTGGCACCTCTTTTATTTAATATATTTAATTAGTACACAATCGGAGCCCCCCATCTTTCTTCTTCCTGAATAACACAGGGACTGCAAAAGGGGACGTTGCTGGTCGGATGAAACCCCGCTCCAGGTTCTTGTCAATGAATCAGTGTAATTCCTCCCTCTCTGCGGGGCTCATAGCATACAGCTCCCCCTTAGGCATTTTATGCCCTTCTAGGATCGCAATAGCACAGTCAATCTTTCAGTGAGGGGGTAATTCATCTGCTTCCCTCTCCTCAAGTACTTTCCCCAGGTCTCTGTATTCCAAGGGGATGGCGTTGAGTTCTTCTCAGGCCAGGCATACTCTCACGGGAACAGGGCAAGTTTCCCACCCACACTTGGGGTTCCATTGGTGCTCCTTACGCCTTGGGTCTAGAAAAGTCATTGGGCCGCGGCTCCACTGCACATAGGGGTCATGCGCCGCTAACCAAGGGCCCCCCAACACCATTGGGAATTGGGCCATGGGGTGTATTATGAATGCCCTCCATTCCCAATGTTCTCCCACCTCCACCGTTAAATCTACTGTCTGATATTGGCACGATTGCATTGTGGTGCCAGTCCATCTGGGTGAAAACCACAGGGTCAGCTAACTTGACCACCCCAGCTCCCAGTCCCATTACCAGGGAAGGGCTGATTAGGTCATGAGAGCAACCAGAGTTTAAGAGAGCCCGTACTCTTAACTGAGTTCCCACTGTGAGGTTTAACACTGTCACAGTAAAAATAAATAAAGAGGTGCCATCTTCATGCACCTGGGATTCGGGGACCTGCTGGTTGGCGCCTTTCATAGCAGGTCCTGGTTGTTTCCCTGCGGCTGAGATGCAGTCCCTTCATCGAAGTGGCTACTGGTGAATGGAACATCAGTGGCTTGCAGCGCTTGGGAGGATTCCCCCCCTCTCAGCTGCTCTGTGTTCTGCTCCTTGGGTTCCTCGCGGTGGTGCCCCTGACGATCATGATTGTTCTCCTGGGCCCGAATGCTCCCGGGGTTGGGCCCCTCTCTTGATCACCACTCACGGCTCCCCCTCCCTTGGGGACTGCCTCGGTCACACTCTCTGTGGCGTGCTTCCCTTGTCAGGGTCAAGGCTCCACAGTGGTAGAACTTTACCAGGTTGCAACGATTCTCCACCTCGCAAGTCACCCAGATCCAACCTGCTAGTGTTGGGGGATCATCCTGAGCCAGTGCCTTCTCAAGAACCATGGAGTTGAGGCTGGCTCGATAAAATTCCACCAGCACCTCATCTGACCACTCCCGGAGCTTGGCGGTGGTCACTTTAAAATCCTTTGAATATTCCTGGACCGAGTGGTTGCCCTGGTGGAGGTTTCACAGTTGGGTCCAGGCTTTCTCTAATTCCAAAGAATCCTCAAATTTCCACTGAAAAGCCATCATGAAGGCATCCAGGTCCCCCAGTTCTGGTGCCGCGGTGTTATACAGGGCCACAAGCCAGTCGGCTGCAGGGCTCCTCAATCTGGAGCCAACATAGTCCACACGCTGCTCATCCAAGAGGAAAGTGTGACCCCAGTCACAGAACATGTTGTGTACCTGGATCATGAAAAACCACAGTGTCTTGGGGCACCCATCAAACATGGCCTCCAGCGCATCTCAGGGTCGCCAACGGTCAGGAGTCTCTCCCCATCTCGGAACTTGCCTCTCCTCTGGCAGTCTGGCGGATTCATGCTCCATCAGCTCTCGAACCACCTGGGGTAACTGTCGGTTCAACTGCTGCATGAGTTCCTTCAGGTATCTCACCTCTTTCCAGAAATTGGCAGGATTGAAGAGGGTCTGTCTCCCCCAATGAATGCCGGGCCTCCTGGGAGTCTCTGTGATCTCCTGCTCTGGAGTCGTTAGCCCTCCCAGGGTCCCGGTTCGCTGGTCCGAATTCTCCTGCTCTCCTCCGGATTCCAATTCTGTCTCAGCCCAACGATCTGGGGTTTGGAGGAGCAAAGGATCACAATCCAAATCCATGTCCTCCTCTGCCTCGTCAGCTGGCTGTAGAAGGTCAGGCGCAGGCAGGTCTGTACCTACGCCTGGTTTGTCGTCCCTCCCACCGTTCCCCATCTCTCACACAGAAAGGGGGGTTTGGGTGGGAGAAGTAGAGTTCTGACAATCTGTCAGAATCCCAGTAGAACCACTCTTACACAATCCTTCGTTTGAAAGTTTATTGGAAAGATTTGGTTAACTGTAGAGGCAAACGTCTTTCTCAGAACTGGCGATGCTAGGCTTGGGAATCAATAATAAAGATGGGGCCCCACATTCCACGCATACCTCACCCACACCAGCATTACTAACAGTCATGTGAGACATACAACCCAACTAGCCATGCCCAAAGTCTTATCTCTCCTAAGGTTGTTTCTCACGCAAGAACCTGAGAACCCTGCATGAAGAAGAGTTAGGATTGGCGCATCCTACCTACAGACATTCACACTCACACTTACTCCCCCCCCTTAGGAATGCCATGTCAGTGAGGGCTAAAGATAAGGGCTTAGAGCAATACCAGGTGTGCCTAACAAGCAGGGTTACAAAAGCAAAACTAAGCGTTAATATTACAGAGTCATACAAAGACAATAAATCCAGGGCCCGAGTCTGACAGTTGGTCCATAGAAAAATCCAAAACCAGAAGCCATGTAATGCTTTTTTATTGTGGTGAAATGTGCCATCAAGTTACAGCTGACTTATGTTGACCCCATAGGGTTTTCAGAGCAAGAGATGTTCAGAGGTGGTTTGCCATTGCCTGGCTCCGTGTCATGACCCTGGTATTCCTTGGAGGCCTCCCATCCAAATACTAGCCAGGGCTGACCCTGCTTAGTTTCCAAGATCTGATGAGATCAGGCTAGCCTGGGCCATCCAGGTCAGGGTGTTTTTTTATTAGTACCGCCCAATATAACCCAAAACAGGGTTCATATTTCTGAGCTCTGTCATAAGCCTTCCTACAGACCGGCAGAGGCAGAAACATCTCTTTTTATCTTCTCCTGCCTTTGTTTTTGTTTTGTTTTTTTGTTAACATTCAGAGTGCTGAAGAGTTCTGGCAAACTTTGGAAGCTTGCAGACTGAGTTCTGTGTTCATTTGGCTAGTCTCACCAGCGGTATTACATGGGTTTTATTTTGATTTTCTCTGTCTATACACACACATTATTGGTATAATCAGCGGTAATTGTTTTAGATGTTTACATGTTAATGGCATAAGTCATATACACTTCTGAAAAGCATAGTACTGGTATACTTAGTTTTGCAACTTCTTTCATCCTTATGGCCATATCTTACAAACCAAAGCACATGGATCTACTTACATAGTAACACCACAAAAGCCCTTTCTTTGTAGTTCTTTCTGATATTGATGCTACCTTCTGTGTAAAAAGCAAGTACCTGTGGTTTCCCTTGACGATATCCCATCTATAACAATAATCTGAGGTCACAAAGGGCCAGTTGCTCCCAGATGGTCAGCTGTGGCCCTGTTCTGTGCACTCCCCACTTTAGGGACAGAGTATTTACTAGGCTTTTCTGTAATGGTGCCTCATCTCTGGAACTGTCTCCTTACAGCTTTTCAGCTGGCATTTGGCCTACCTCTCTTCGGGCACTAAGGAAAATCTTTTCTGTTCATCCACACTTTTTGTTGCATTCTCTTCTTTTTTCTTCTTGGTTCTTAAGAAGTCATGTGTGATTTTAATGTTGTTCCTCATCATAGTTTAATTAATGTCATAGATCATTATTTTAATTGACAGTGTATCGATCGGAAGCTGCCATGGAAACTAATAAATGATCTGCTACTGAAAATTGCAGGAGGAGACATAGTTCATACCACAGGCCTTGATTTGTCATTCTTCTTTATCATCCCACTTCCTTTTTTGAAACATGTGAATTCTTGCACCATAAGAGAACATTGCAAGTAAATAGTCTGTACAGAAACTGCACATTATCTAGTCACCCAGTCATTGTCTTGCACTTCCCCTTTCAATCAGTACTGAAACTAGCCATTCAAAAGTCACAGTGAATGCACATACAGTCTGTGTGCAGTGTGCACATTTTTCTTTTTATGCGCCTCTAGTAATTCTCATACTACATTCAGTGTATGTACAAGAGTCCAGTAGCACCTTAAAGACTAACAAAATATGTGGCAGCTCATACCCTGCCACATATTTTGTTAGTCTTTAAGGTGCTACTAGACTCTTGCTCTTTTCTACTGCTGCTGAGAGCCAGTTTGGTGTAGTGGTTAAGTGTTCGGACCAGGTTTGATTCCTCACTCCTCCACTTGCAGCTGCTGGATGACCTTGGGCAATCCATAGTTCTGTAAGAGCTGTCATTGAAAGAGTAGT